TATATATATATATATATATATATATATATATATAGCCTACATGATTAGCTACAGGAAACAAATTAGTTTAAAAAAATCAAGTCTAAAGACAAAATTTAAACATACAAAATACATAGCCTTTGTCGCTTTGAATCTTACTTTATTTATGTGTTTACGCTGCATTTTTTGCCCTCTCTATCTTACGTGACATCCTCCAGGTCGGTAAGCCCCGCCCATTTAAGATACCATAATCCTGCATTCATGCCATTCTACAGTCATGTTGTATTTCTATGAGTTCAACCCAACTGTGCCGATTTCCAGTCCGTGATGCCCAGCAGGGTCAGACCACAGCAAGAGACGCTTTACATGCCAAACAATTCATGATGAAAGAAAAATATTCAAATAATGTAAATGAGATCACCAATGCTTTTATCTCAATGACCGTGTCTTTTAATTAGAGTAGCCTACGCGGCGTTGTAGTGCTTATGAGCTCATTTTATAGTCATGCCCGACCGCCATTGAGGAGCCGAAGATCCGCATGTACGCAAATCTCTCGAATGTGCAGGGGTGTTTTCAAGAAGGACAGATAGCCTTCAACACAGCTCTTAATGCACTTTATAGACTTTACAAAATAAAAAGATTGCAACGAAATTCTACTCTATTTTCAACAGTTTACACGTGCATCTCTTATGGTCAGCTTGGAAACTTTGCATTGCAACACTTTTATAATGGTCTTTTTAGGACGAATAGTTTGTGTTGCACATGAAAGCATGCATAGGCCTATTTCCAAAGTATACAGGTTGTTTTAAGCTTGTCATGTTTGGATGCTTGGGAAACTTTAGGAGCAAGTCAATGAGGTAAAGTGCACGAGCGACACTCACCTTATGTCTTCCTCTGATTTTGAACTTGTCCAGTTTGCCGTCTGCGCACGTGATGAGCTTGTCCATTCGGGTCAGCAGATAGCCAATGTTTTGGCAGCCGCTTTCGGTGCCATCGACCCATGCAATCGTGTCCCCTCGAATAGCTTTGCTTTTGTTTAGTTTGTGGCCCACTAACTGTCCATCCTGCATGTTGCCACTCTGATGGATGCGCTTCACCTCCTGCACAATGCGCTCTCCGATTCTGTCCCCTAGAAAATTGTCAACTATACACAAGCCGTAGGAGTTCATGCACGGGACGATGTATTGCAAGACTAGTTTGTGTGTGTTCAGTCGTTTGTGTTCTTTAGATTTTGCCCGGTTACTGCGGGGCTTCCTGAGCTCTCTGGGCAGCTCCATGCGTCCACTAGTTTGATCTGGACACCTGTGCGGATCATTTGTGATGGTTTGGTCTTCAGAGGTCTGGTCAGCAGCAGCCTGGTTTCCCTGATGTTCTGCCATCGAGTCGAATGCAGCAGAAGTGCCCCCCGCGAAAGGGGAGAGTCTGAGTACGTGAACACCATCACATGTGTCAAAGCTTAATTTAGAGCTTACACGAGCCTGGACAGAAAAGATTTGCACTGATGAAGAATAATTACTTCTTAGAGAAAAGCATGAATGTCAATGTCAAGAACAGTCATAACTCCTTGTCATGATGCATTAGTCGTTTATTTGATGTGTCAGTGTTTACATTTAGTCATTTAGCAGATGCTTTTATCCACAGCTACTTACAAATGAGGACAATAAAAGCAATAAAACTAACAAAAGAGCAATAATATATAAGTGCTATAACAAGTCTCAGTTAGCTTGTGCTAGTTATTTGTCTGAGCCATTAAAATGCTGTTATAATAATACAAATAATACTTTATTAATCATTTATTATTATTATTATTAGGAAAATCTGACCATATGTTCAAAGTTGACATGATCAGTGCAACAGATTTGTCTTTGTTTTGTTTTTGACCTTGAAACAGTGTAGAATCTCAAATATTTCTTCTTTATTTTAATCATGACTATGTTTTAAATATTAACTTTTAAAAGAGAGAGAGAGAGAGAGAGAGAGAGAGAGAGATCATAAAACACATTTCCAGATTTCCAGAAAAGATGTTCACTGATCAAAGATAATTACATTTTATATGTCCTGGAGGGGAAAGCATAAATGTGAATGGCAATAACGATAAGACTCATGTGCCACTGAGCCATTAAAATGCTGTTACAATAATTATTTATTTATGTTGCTGTTGTTATTGTTAAATAATAATAATAATAATAAAGATTCCATTATTAAGAAAATCTGCTTTACAAAGTTCACGATTATGGGACATTTTTTAAACCTTGAAATCGTGCAGAATCCAAAATATTTATTCTTTAGTTGTTGTTGTTTTTTTTATCATAACTTAAGGTTTAAAAGTTCAGAACAAATGAAAATACATTTCCAGATTTATGAAAAAAATAATCAGAATTTTCTTGTTAAACTAATAGTCATGTTGCAATAGTCACTCATGTAATGCGGAAGTGTCACTGAGCCATTAAAATGCTGTTATAATAATAATAATAATAATGTATTTATTTTTATTATTATTATTATTATTAATAAATATTCTATCATGAAGAAAATCTGAACTTTTTTTTGAAAAAGTTCATTTATATTAAAAGTTAAAAATAATAATAATAAAAAAATTTCAGAATATTTGGAAAAATTCTGATTTTTCCCAGAAGCTTTGCCAGTCATTCATCTTCAAATACACATACCCCAGTTAGTCAGAATTAGATTATCATCAAATCTCAGCTGTGTTTAATCATTTTTTTATGTTAACTGGAAGTCTATTTGCACTTCCTATTATGGTAATATGAATCATTCTTTTTTCTAGTTCTCACTGTGCAGTGCACAAGGGGTTAAATCTGATGTGGCTCTGAAATGGCTTGAAACACCACAGAATGCACGTTGATTTGCTAAAAATAGCACGGAAATAATTAAAGCCACATCACAGATGTGACGTTTGCACTGACCCAAATGACAGCTATCTGTTGGCTTTGATTTCTGCAGAGAGAAAGGTCAGAGTGAACCCACATGTTGCACAATGGAATATGATATGATGTTGTGATGTAAATTACCATTTCACATGTTACAACATCCACCAGTTCAACTCAGATTTTCCATGGGTAAGTTA